TCTTTACGAGGCCCCTTCTCACCCTCGTTGCAACGAGCTATATTTAGTGCAAGGCATTAAAATAACATCATGCGAAAGTCAAAACCCAGAAAAGATCCGGTGGTCAGCTCACGTGGACTCGTGCTACCTACAACCCTCACCTGCTTCTGCACTGCTCAGGCAGGTGGGTAAGCACATAGACACAAAAAGGACGTTATTTCAACGTACTGAGATTTAAACTTCAAATTAATCCCACAAGACGCCCTTACATTATGTTGGCCCTTAAAAAGCTTTGTTAGAATGCTGTTATTACTCACTGCCAGTATTAGCTTACTCATACTAAATCTATATGATAACAAAGATATGGATTTATGAAGCAGGGTGAGATTTTACAGTTCCTCCACAATCCTGCAACAGTGACCTGTCTTTTATGATACTGCAGAAGTTATAAATGAAAAAATGCTCTGTCATTTGTGAAATAATGTGATGTTTCAAGAAGAAAGTACAAAATTACAGGCTTTGGGTGGGAGAGGCTCAGTTTATCAACAGAGGCCACTATGAAGCTAAATGTTTGGCTAGGCTAATGCTAAAATATGAGGCTGTTCAAAATGGCAGTGTTGAGGCATCAGAACCAGAAGGTTTTAATGATGTCTTTGATAATCCGACACAGTTTGAATAAATATGTGCACATTTACTACCTAACTAAGCCATATGTTTCTAATTCTAACTCTTGATAGTGTTACCATGTAGTAACATAGCCAAGCAGATTCATAAACACATGTACACTTTGAATAATGACATTTGTAATGTAATGTACTTTATATATGTTTTTCTACTGTTATTGAAGCGAGGAAGCTGGTGTACCCAGAGAAAATTGAAGCACCCAGAAAGGCCACAAACATCTTTGAACCAGGAACCTTCTTGTTGTGAGGTTGAGCCTGGTAAAAAGCCTGCTTCAGCAGAAAGGATTTAGTCACAAGTCTAAATTCCAGAATGAAATGACAAGCCAGGGCTGACCAATGACTCCAAGTAGCTCAGAGATATGTACAAGGTGTCCTTTGAGTCCAGCCTCTTGATGTGCCAGCCACAGTTAGATGCAGAACGATAACAGCCCTCATTCACAGAGCGATAAAATCTTTATTAGGAAGTTAGAGGGGTATCAAAAGGATATGAGCCAGAAGAATTTTGTGATTTTGTTCAGGTCTAAGCATTTAAACCTGCTTAGTGAAGTTTCTACATGACAAAAGTGTGTAATTATTCATTTGGGTGTGAAGCAAGTGGTCCTTTGACCATATGTGCCATAACCTTGTGCGTTCGACCAAAAGGCTATGACACCTTGCCCTTGAATCCAGTGCATCACAGCAGACAGGCACTCTACGCTGAAACTGAATAAAGTCTGCTCAGTTGTACTGCTTCAAATTTGAAATGTATGTAATGCCTATCAACACCCTGACAGGAAGAAGCACTTCCGACAATTCTGCTACAAAACTACAAATGTATGCAGATGATGTGGTATTAAAAACTTCATTTTGAAAGCAGGTTATAAGCAAGTCAGCTTAACTTTAGAGGTTTATCAGTGCATTCATGAATCTCCTGAACAGTAGATGTGTGTGTGTGTGAGTGTATGTGTGTGATGTGCCGATGTGCGGCAGTCAGTCGGTCCAGGTGATTGACAATACACCCCTGAGCATGCTGGGAAACAAGATAAGCACAGCCCATTTTGTGGGCCTCAAAAACCCAAGAGAACAGACACGGAAGAAGATAGAGGGAAAAAAGAAATTACAGCGAGATTACACAGCAGGAACAGACAGACAGACTCACAGATGAGAGAGGGACAGAGGGAGAACGAGAGAGTAATTTGTTGGAAATAAAGAGTGACAGGAAGGACAGGAGGTGCCGAAAAAGGAGGAATTATGGGAGTGTTTCTCCTTTTGCCCTTTCCTCTCGTCCGTTATCAGCCATCAGGGTCCTCCATCATTCTGGATCCCATCTTCCTTAAGACAGTTAAAATTCTCCTCTCTCTGTCTCTGTCACTCAATCCAAATTCAGCTGCAGGCCTTACAGTAGTTTTTTTACTGCACCGGCCTCGATGACCAGGTTGAAGACTTCTCGTGTCCGTCTCTGTCAGCCTCTAACAAATTCACTCAATTAGTTATTGTTACGCTCAGAAACATGAGCACCACGTATGAGCAGACTTTTACAAGGTCACCCATTTAGACACACAGTCAAACAAGTAAGTGTCAATCAACTTACTGCTGTGGGGCAACAAACAGACATGATGACCGCGTGTCTCCAAGCAACCAGGAGCGGCAGTCGAGGCCATAATTAAAACAGAAGCCTGCTTGAGGAAATAACAGGAGACTGGAAGGTAGACCGTGTGTCTGCAGCAGCTTTATGTACTTTTTTATGTCATTCATAAATAGCCCAGAGCAGCACTGTGGACACCGAGTAACAGTAAACATGAATGATGTCAGAATCACAGCAATATTCCCCCAAGTCAGGAATCATCTGGCTTTTTAAAAATGGTAAAATTCAGTATTTATTTATTTATTTATAACTGAGTCTAAAATGGACCAAAGAGCTCAGTGTTATAAAACCTGTGCTTTATTTTTCAAATTTTACCTAAAACCATGAGTGAATTCATTTCCCAATGCATATTCACCATCCTGTGGGTCGTCTACTTAGGAACGATGCTGTATTTAAATGTGTGCGATGTCAGAACACTGGCCCACACCTCGAGGTAAACATAGACTTTACTTAGAAGGCCACCCACATATTTTAACAGCCGAACAAATATATTTTTCCAGAGTTTATTCAAGAAAACAAAGGATTTCACCATCAGTTCACTGGGACAATCCAGTGGGTCTTATGTTGAAAGTTTAGTTGTGTGCAGGCGTGCAGCAGTTTGAATTGCTGCTTCACAGCAAGAAGGATCTGAATCTTTTGCTGGGACGTTTACATGTGTGGTTTCTCTCTTCATAGTCTGGCTTCCTCCCACAGTACAAATACATGTTTGTTAGATTAGGTGATCATTCCAAGTTTGCTGTAGTTGTGAATGTTTCTATGCCGTAGCTACGTGACAGACTGCCGACCTCCACTACCGACTTTGAATTTGACAAGTGGAAGAAAACTGATGGATCCGTGCATGCGTAGTTGTTTTTCGAAGGTTATTCACAGCTCTTACCATCTCAATACATTTTCTTTGCCTACTTTGGGGGCTGGAGCCCAGCTGACACGGAACAAGAGGCAAACCATTCACCCTCACATACCTACAGTCCACCCAGCAAACACGTCCCCTTGGGCTCTCTACACAGCCCCAGACTGGTCAAGGGCTGCAGCTGATAATGTGTATTTATCTGCTGAGAGCTTAAAAGCCACTCCAACCTGATCCTGCAGCAGTTGGAGAACTGCATTGTATGATACCTTCCCCAGCTGCAGTCCCACACTGGGATTAGCTCATTATCACTCATTGATCAGTTGATCAATCCAACAAAGGCTGAACAATTTCAAGATGTACTTGAACCAACAGCAGGTGTAATCCCTTAGAAACACAATAACAAGTCCCAGATGATCAGTTATAACTGTTGGTTAGATAACAGGGAGAAAAACAGCCGGGCAGCAGACAGGGAGGGATGAGCTAACAGAGTGACACAGGGCAGCACTGCCCACATGGTCAATGAAGTAAAACAAAAGACCCTGACATGCCCGGCTCCACATCCCTACACTGTTTGCAGCACTTAGAGTAAGCTGATAATTTGTGGCCTTTCATTCTTTTGCGTTGCTCGTGTGCAGAGCTTAGCTTTGAAGACATGAAGTTGAAGTTGTAGCTGTGTACTGTGCTGAGGGGCAACTGGTCTGTGAGCTAGTCTTGCTTGTGCTGCTACTGATCCTTCAGCCACAGAGAAGAACGGCGTTAGAACATCCAAAGAGCTGAAGTGAAGCTAAGTCCTCTTCATGCTGCTTTTGATCATCTTTGACTTTCCTTGTCCCTGTTGGTCTCTTCCTTGTTCTGGCCGACTTCTCAACCAGTCACCATTCAACCTACACCCGGCAATAGTACATTGGTTTTTCAACCAATGCAAACTTGCTCATGATAAGTTGGTTTTCTATTTGTAATAAAATTCATACCCAGACAAAAACAACTGCAGTACCATAAAACAAGCATAGGTTGGCGCCCTGCTCAAAGCAGAAACACCCCTAATTTTCAACCTAACCAGTATCCAAATGCATGGGTTTGTGCAGCAGTTTGTAAACATATTTAAGCCTACTGTAAAGTTGGACACGTCATCATGGCAGTCAGTAGTGACTGAGTTGCTTTTGGAATTCACAAACTGCAGTTTATGGCTTGGTTTGTTAGCCCTGGAGGTTGCAGCTTAATACCAACTCATCTTAAACCTATAAAAGTGAAGACTAAATACACACTGTACTCTTATAGCTGAGACTCAATGTAGGCTGTTATTATAAAAGAAAAAACTCAATGTACCGAGGCAGGGTTGGTAGTATCAGCACCGCGATGTCCACAGGTTATGTGAACCGCAGCAGTTCTGCAAGACTGCTGTAGCCCACAGTCAAGATAAGCAGCGTGTCTTGGATCTTGCAAGTACAGTTTAGTACTCCAGTAGAATGACAGCAAAAAGTAAAAACCCCCAACAGGCATAACAGAATCACACAGAACCAGTAAGAGCTGTGAAACTGAAGAGGTCACATGTCAGAGCGCAGCAGTCGAGGGCTTTGCAGCCTCAGCTGTGTTTGTATTTTCCAAAGTGGATGGCTGAAACTGTCGGGTTGTGTAAATTCATGTTATGAATTTTTATGATTTTCCTCATTGCCCCTCATTCATATTTATCATGTTTTTGAAGGACTAGCTCGATAACATGTTCCTGTCTTTAGACCCGCCCACCTTGTCACGAATATTTATGAGCGCAGCAGCTTCAAGGCCTTCAAGCTCATTGTTCCCTGGCACAGCGAGCCTGATTTCTACCAGATCGATCATAAAAAGAACAGAAGGAGGTGTTTCTTACCATTGTAAGAGAGGCGAGGCTTGCTTAGACACATGATAAAGTGAACCTCCATTTCATTGGACGCCACAGACTTGGAGCAGACAGGACACTTGAATCCTAGGAAGAAGAGGAGCAAAGTAAAAGATCAGTGCAAACATATATACACACACATGACTGTGAAATAAACAAGCATCGGCTTCATTGTGAGTGCATTTCACCCAAAGGAACGAAATGTAAAATGTCATTTTGTAATGTAAAAGAATGTGATAATAGGAAATCCCGGCCGTTCTGATGTTAAAATACCCAAATAGACCCAAACAGTCTTTGAATACAGCTGGCAAGGTTCTTTGTTCTGCTCTGCAGCTTTAGTGAACTTATCATAACAGCGCATGATCCGGTTTTCCACCTGCTGCATGTTCGAGTTAGAGCACATTTCTAACTCGCACCGTAGGAAGGACTACGGACCCCAGCTGAAGCCCAGGATGGCCGCCATCTTGGGCTGAATGAGATCAACGATATCAAGGACCGCCACAAGTGAGCCAACCAGAAGAGAAAACAAAAGACAGGAAGGTGTTTTTGAGTTAACTTTCAAAATAAGAGAATGGATAAAAAATAATAACCCACTTATTGGCTTCTATTAGCGTGGCCATTAGCATATCCAGCTTACTAATGGGAAAAATTGGTCTCAGATGGAGTAGAAGGTCTGCCTTTCTAAAAAAAACAAACAGGCTGAATCATTAGCCACTGCTTTATTATCAGTTAAGGAAAGAAACATTGACTAAAATAAAACTTTGTGATATGGAAGACTGATTAGAATGAACCCAGGCCGTTATCATTGTGCTATCCAGTTCTTCCCTTTCACCCCAATGCACACTTTAAAAACACTCATCTGTGCTTGTTTTGCCAAGTTCTGTAAAGTTGTAGCTGTGTCAGTACTCTCTGTTTGTGCTCTTTGGAGCCATCAGGGTTGACTATATTAGTATAACACATACCAGATAATTAGGTCAACACTGGGCCACAGAGCTGAAAACAGCTGCGACTGTGACAAAAGGAAGCTTCAATCAAAACGGCAGTGACTCTTCACGTTCAGCATCGCTGAGAATGGGATATGTTTCAGCAGGTTTTAGGCCAGTGGGTTTTGTATCCAGATTACTTCAGTTTACTGAGCTCACTCTACTGTACCTTTGCTCAAATCAAGACTGGTACCAACAAACTGCTAAAAAAAAACATTTACAAAATACAAAACTGCTCATTTCAATGTGTAAATTCTTTGAAAAATCCACCAGTTTCACTGCCTTTTGGTTTCCGTTTATTAAAAATTGATTATATGATAGGTAACGCTACAGTTGTTTGGTGGTTTAATGAGATTTGCATATATATAAACAATTACACTGATTCTTGCTGAGCATTTTTCCCCTTCTTCTTTTCAGAGACTTTCTGTGGAAAAGTTTTAGGTGCATAGCGTTTCGCTGTTGCTAACTAATCCTGGAAGTATTAGACCTCTTAATTTGTAATGTTCTGTCTTTTTCTTTTCCTAATTCCTCTTTCCTTTCTTGTCTTTTGCTAGTTTTAGACCAACAACTTCCAACGTTTCTCAATAAGGTCAGGCTGCATGAGGTAAAGTGAGATAAACTTGCTGTGGCCAGGACTGCTGCTGTGAAAAAAATCAGTTTCGTTAAATGTTACAGAGAAAGGAGTTTGGAATAAAGTTTGGAATAGTATCAGCTCCACAATGTCCACAGGTATGTGAGCCGCAGCAGTTCTGCAAGACTGCTGCAGCGCACAGTCAAGATAAGCAGCGTGTCTTGGACAGAAGTTGGGACGCTGAGTGGGAGTGGAGGCTTTTCTGCAAACTCATCATCTCCAGGAACTGGTGCTACAGGGGGCCAGACACCACCCAGGTGGAGAAGGCAAGCTCTGGGATCTGCTTGACGAGATGGGACAAGGCGCAAGCAAATAACTCCCAACTCGCTGCTGGGTGTGTCAGGACGATGTCCCCGCTCCAAATCCCCAACCACTATATTCTGATAAGAGGTCAAACATTTATGACAGGTTGTCACTGATGTGCCTGTGGTGCCAACAAGTTTGAAAGTCTTCCAAATAAGAAACTAATAATCTCATTTTCAGCCAAGAGGGTTTAGTTCAGCTCTGATCTGAGGCCCTTTTGTAGCTTTCAGTAACCATTTATTTTCATTTATGTCATTTGGTTAGCTTTAGGCAGTAAAACGTCTTGCTTGTGTCGTTTTAAAACCTTTACAATATTCACTGTCTTACTATTTATATTTTATTCCTGCACAGTTGGTGTGGACCACTCACAGTGTCATTATACACGTACAATGACAATAAAGGGATATTCTATTCTATTCTATTCTACTCTTCCTAAATGATACTTAACACCAAATTGTCAGTTATAGATAACGATAACAGCTCGTAGACATTACTAATGGGGTGTTATTTTAAAAGTAGGAGCTTCTCCGTCTATCAGGAGGAACTGCAAGCTACAAATAACACTGGACATGTGACGACTCTAGTTAAAAAAATAGCCCACCTACAACTAAACTGCAACATGGCAGCGTCCTGTGCATATAACATAACTGTGACCAAATTAATTTTTAAGTTAAAGTTGTGAGGAGAAGAGCTTTCAGTTGGTACAAATTCTGCAAGAAGAGTATTAACAGAGGTTGTATTTTTCCCTCACCAGTTCCCTGTTAATGTCTTGTATGATCAGGCTTGATCATATATTAATATATATTATTTAACACTATGAGGTTATCCCAAAAGAGTTCATTGCTTTAAGTGTACAGGGTAACGTGTGCTTCCTAAACTTTCTAAAACTCGAATATGTGGCAGAGACTTCAACTATCAGACTCTTCAGGAGGCAGACACCATCTCTACTTTAAACTCAGGTGACCATACCTTAGTTACGTTGCTATAGGCTCATGATATTGGGGACTTCCTGTGATGACATGGGCATTTCTTCTTCCCTCCCCTCTTTTCAGTCATCATGTATTCATATGCCACTGCTGCATGTCATTCATTTTGACCCGTTCTTTCCTGTCGTTCTTGTACTTTGTGTGTGTTTCTCTTTCCTCTCGCCCTAGTTAAGTTTGCTCTTCTTCCCCACTTTCACCAAATGGTGGATCATTCTGTAGGTGAATGTCAGATTGTTGATATTATTAACATATTTGTCAAACATAATTTCACTCTCTGCCACAATATCAGATTTTACCGTACGATATTCATTTGACATATGCTGAACTTTTTATACCCACGCAGCAAAACATCCTCTCAGTTTTGTTCTGATGACTGGATGAGAAAAGCATTTCCCCCATAAAATCGCCACTAAATAACAGTCGTTAAACAAGCACTGGTGATACGGAGCTCATTCTAAAGATGGTTAGATGCAACTCTACCAAATTTGATGAAACAGAAATAAGGCATAATAAATGCTCCATTTAAATTGTAGCAATACGAGGCAGCCTCAGTCCACAAACGGCAGCTACCATGATAGAAAATTGGTAGCTGACAAAAATGGAAATTAATGACAGGTCCCTGTACCTGGCTGAGGTAAAGGGACCTTCAGTGTGAAGAGGACTTAAAGCTAAACAAAGGTTTGAGCTTCTCCTGTGTTTTTGCTGGAGTGATGACACATACAGTTCTAAGACATTCACAGGCTTACAAGTGGAAAATAAAGTAAAAAACAAAAATAACACTGCAGAACTGCAGCATACATACGTGGTGCTCATTTCTGTGAAATGTGAAAAACGCTAAGGAGGTGCAGGTAGAAAACACACAGAGAAACGTTCACTACACACACTACATGGCAGCTGACCCACATTTCCCTTAGCTGCTATTTTCAGACGCTCCATAGGGATGAGCAGAGAGTGGGAGATGGAAGAAATGAGCGAAAAAGAGGTGCAGGAAGAAGGTGAGAGAGCTGAAGCGTTTCGAGGAGAAATGAAGGATTGTGATACGTGGTCCAGCAGGACTCTAGCTGCGCAGCTTGTGTGTGCGTTCGCTTTCAACTCAGCCAAGCACCGCGAATCCTCGCGGACATTTCGTATTCAAGGAGCGCATAAGGTCAGATAGGGACGAAAATAAATCACAGGGCCGGATCATAAATTAATTATACTGGTGCCTATGTGAGAGCATGGACACAGATGTGTGCTGTGAGTGTGCGCAGGCCTGTTTTGCAGTCCTACTGTACAGGAGTTGGTTCGTGTCAAACGGGCACATTTCTCTAATATTTTCCTTCAGTGTCATCTTAGGACCACAGGTGGTGTGGCGATAAATGCCACACAGCGCTTTTATGGTCGCGAGCTGTGGGACGGTTGGCACCAAATGACAAAGAGGAGAAATTTCTCAGTGCTGCTGAGAACGACATGTCTGTGAAGAAAGAAAGAGAAAAGCGTCTGGACTTCTTTAAGTTTCCTTGAAGACGTTTCACCTCTCATCCGAGAAGCTTCTTCAGTTCTAAGAGCAATCACATGAGCCAAGGTGATCAAAAAGGGGTCCATGACCCTCTTGGGGACACTCCCATAGGGCTTAAAATCTGGGACTCTCCACTATTTGCTCTTAGAACTGAAGAAGCTTCTCGGATGAAACGTCTTCAAGAAACTTAAAAAAGTCCAGACAGTTTTCTGTGGAGGGTGGACAGTTCACCACATAGCAACATTGATTTAATATTCATCTGGCCAGTAATAGCCAATAATGTTTAAACCTGTAGATCAGGCGTGTTAAACATAAGGCCCAGGGGCTAGAATTGACCCAGCAAAGACTCCCATCTGGCCCACTGAACAGCTTTAGAAAATGTGAACAAGTGCACAGATAATCAACTTTTAACTGTATTTTCTGTAGTTTTACACCTTTTTCTATTAATAAACCCCCCCACCCCCACCTTCACCAACTGCCATTCATAAAACACCAAAGTAATGAAGCCAGAAATAAACAATCAAATGAGAGAAAGGTTCCCGTTTTTACACCATCTGCTATTGAAAATTATCTGTTTCGGGGGGAAATCATCTGGGTTTTTGTCCTGTCAGTGTTAATCTCGTTAACCGCATTAACGCGGCAGTCCCCATTAGCGAGTAAACGCAGATCACCCTGTGCGTGGGGCT